AGTTCAAAGGTGCAGAAATTTTCTTTTTTGATTTTTTACTTATTTAAATGAAAGCTAACCTATATGTAATGACGTGCAAAAAATTGACATGCGATTAATGCAACCTAATATGCAAACTATATGTCATGCGACGACGTGACCTGTTTCTAATGACGGGCATATTATTTTTTTTTGTATTTTTTTAATGAAATTCGGAATTAAAAATGCCAATTATCTAAACATGCAATTTCAAACTAAAGAAATTAACCTATTCTAGAGTAATATTTTTGGTATTTTTTTTATCGAAATTCGAAATTAAAATCAAGTAAAAAATATAATAACCGCTAAATCTTTCGAATTAAGTTTCGATCTAAAGACTGACAGATCGATCCTAAAATTCGAAATACCCGCTATGGAAATAACTCTATCTAAAGCCTGATAGATAGATTTATTTCCACGTGTGCGGTTGCGGATTAGGAAATTTTCCTAATCGATCACATCTTGAAAAAATTTAGATATCTTAAATATCTTGGATATATTCAAAAGATTTTGAAAATTCTAAATTCTATCCAAATTTGAAAAGTAATAGATATCCAAGATTTCAAAAAAAAAGAAATAAAATCCTAATTGGAATAATGCTTATTATCCAAATATGCAAAATTAGATATCAATAAGCACAAATTAGGCAACCAAATATTCAAATCAAATCGGGATATGATAATTACCTGATTTGCAGATTTCTTTCCTAATTTGAATTTGCAGCGGATCGGGATTGCGGATCGGCGGTGCGTCGGGAGCGGCGGTGCGACGTCGGGAACAGTGGCGGCTAGCGACGGTGACACGACGGGAACGGCGGTGCGGCGAGTGTCTCCGGGCAGCGGCCAACAGGCGGGGACAGGCGGCTTTCTGGCGGTGACCAGGCTTGGCGTTGAGCTTACGGTGGGTCACGGTTTTCACTTGCACCTCTCTCGGTTGGATGCCTATCTCTTTGACCACTGAATGACTTTGAGTTGGGTTGGACTTCAGCGAGCAATGCCGATCGTCGTGGGAATTCGTCGGGAAACAGCAACCGTGTCAGAGGAAAATCGTTGGCGTCGATGGAATTGGCTTGTCTCCAAGAATGGAATGCCTCGTTGTTGAGGCTTGAATCAAATTGAACTTCGTCGAAGGGGCTCCAACTGGACGTGCTGCTCTTCACCACGTGGGAAGCAGTAACAGCAACACAGGCACGGTGGCCATCGTGGAGCTTGATGGCTGTATATTCAATGTTGTGTGTCCCCACGTTGCAGAACAAGAAGAAGAATTGTCACGGCTGCAGAACAAGTCACGACTGCAGTGATCTTGACTTCTTTTTTCTCAGTGTTCTGTACCCATGACACCAGAACGTCATTCCAAATACATGTCCCCACGTTGACCGATAGTGTGGAGCAGCGACCGACGCAAGGAGCAGCGGCCGTGATGGAAATCTCAGCCGCTTCCCTCGCCTTTAGTTCTCTTTCTCAAGTGTTTTTCTCTCGTGTGTTCTCCGAAAATTCTGAACCGAAAATTCTGAGACCTCCCTCCTTGATTATGAGATATAAACATATATTTATAATGTAAACCTAGGTCAATTAGCCGGGCTTTTTAGGCCTAATGGGCTTAGGTTTAGGCTTTAATTTAATTCTAAGTGGGCTGAATTAATTTGGGCTTTTCTTTAATTAAGCATAATGGGCTAATTTAAGCTCAAATTAAGACAACCAAGCCCCTTTTGCGTGTGATTTTCGGCCCATGCTTTCCGAGTGAGCCGAGTCTCGTTCGTTGCCTGAACTCGATTTACGTGATGAATTTTAAGCTCGCTTACCACCGCCGATCCGATGCGAAATGCAGTTAATCTATATGAACCTAAACTTTATGCTATGCGATTTGTAATATTTTTGTTCAGGGGTTAAAATTTAATCCCTAATTTTCTATGCAATTAACCACTAAATGATGCGCCGAAATTTAGGTGTCAACAGTATCAAACACTTCTGTCTTTTCTTTCAAAAAATACACCCAAGTTTTTCTAGTAAAATCATGAATAAAAGTAACAAAATATCGATGATTACCATATGAGTGAGGATTGATCGGGCCACACAAATCAGAATGAATCAACTCAAGCGGCTTCTTCGCTCAATAAGTCGCCTCCTTCGGAAAGCTAGTTCTGGAATGCTTGCTGATAACACCCTTCACATAATTGATCGGGATGATCAATATGTGGTAAGCCACAAATCATCTTCTTGCGAGAAAGCAAATTAAGTCCGCCAAAATTGAGATGGCCGAACCTCAAATGCCACAACCATGAAGGATCATCTACGCACGCCTTTAGACATCGAGACATCGAGACTCTTTATATTAAGAATAAACATCCTGTTCTTCGACATCTTCACATTTGCAAACAGTTTATTATTCCGATCTCTCAACATAAGATTAAGATCTCTCATATGAACAGTATAACCTTTCTCCAGAAGTTGTCCCAAACTCAATATATTGCTTGACATTTTTGGAACATAATAAACATTAGTAATAAACTGACGTGCACCATTCTTTAAGTGAATCAAAATTGTACCTTTCCCTTCGACAAGAATTTTAGAGTTATCACCGAATGAGACAGTCCCTTTAATTGTCTCATCTAACTCGGCAAACATCTCCTTTCTCCTGCACATGTGATTGCTTGTGCCGGTATCCAAATAACACGTATCGCTTTGACCTTCTTCATATTCTTTGAACGCCAATAAGAGAACTTGATCAGCATCATTCACCAAGTTCGCCTTTTCGTTTGCTCTGCTACTTTCTTTGTTGCAGCAGTTAGAAGCATAATGGCCAAGTTTATTGCAATGATAACATCGGATTTTAGATTTATCATACCATTGGCTTGTCGAGTTCTTTCCTCTTCCACGAACACCTCTTTGGTATTGGTATCCTCCATCACTTCGAGCAGGATCTCCTATGCTTCGTCCACAACCTCTTCCTCGAAAGTGACCTCGGCCACGACCTCGATCACGATCTTGATTTGTCCCACGATTTTGTGCGGGATCTCTTCTTTGCTCCTTCTCATCTCGAATGGTCAATTGCGTTTGGAGAACTTCCTCCACCGGTTCGATCTTTTTCTTTCTAAACCTTTCTTCATGGGCTTGTAATGAACCCATAGGTTCATCAACCGTCATGGCATCCAAGTCTTTGGATTCTTCGATTGCAACCGCAATATGATCATATTCTTGTCTAAGGACCGAAGTATTTTCTCAACAACACGAACATCGGAAACTTTTTCTCCGTTTCTTTTTATCTGATTAATAATTGCCAAAATTCTCGTGAAATAATCAGCAATCGATTCAGATTCTTTCATATGAATTACCTTGAATTCGCCTCTCAAGGTTTGAAGGCGAATCTTCTGAACTTTTTGAACTCCTTGATGTGTGTTTTGAAGAATCTCCGATGCCTCTTTAGCGGTAGTGGCGTTTGAAACTTTTTCGAACATGGAATCATCTAACGCTTGATAGATGATCGACAGGGCATATTGATTTTTCGTTCGAACCTTCTCCAAGGCATTCCTCTGGTTCTGGTTCAACGTGGCTTCATCCTCTGGCTCATCATAGCCAGTGTTAACAAGTTCCCACACACCGTAGGCGTCGAGTAGAGCTTTCATTCTAACAGCCCAGTTACCATAATTTTCTTTGGTAAGACGAGGGTATTGAAGAGGAAGCTGATTGTTCGTTGAGGCCATGACCACGAACTGTAAGCTCTGATACCAATTTGTTGAGCGTCAGTGGCGCGGCAACAATATTGATTTGATGGAAGAAATTTTTTCAAGGTGAAACGATCGCAATTCGCGCCTTTCTCTTGCATATATCAATTACAAGAGAAATAGAATATGTATAGGCCATAGTTTGATTCGAAATAGGAAACCTCTTTCTAGGAAACCTATTCTAATTAGGAAACCTACTCCGATTAGGAAACCATTCAATTAGGAAACCTGCTCAAAATAGAAAATCTAATTACTTAGGAAACTTTCCTCTTTCGGGCTCAAACTATAATTAGCACCTAAAAACATGAAAAATCAAAATATGAAAATACGAATAGACTCACAAAAAAAAAAAAACAAGTATCAACAAATTTGGTTTAATTTATAACAGGAAATTGGTTGATCATGGTAACTTTGAAATTACAACACTTACACTTAATTTCTTCTTGGGACGGATTGATTATATAACTAATATTCTTCACCCCATAACATGTCAATAGCTAGAATGAAGAAAAGACAATGTCGATACAACCGAAAATAAACGAATGATCTCTATCAAGAGACATGCTAACGCCGCCCCAACCATGGAGTACTTAGTACTGGCCCCATGAAAAGATATGTCTTCACACCGAATTCCTAATTCCAATTGAACTGTACAATGAGTCGGTAGATAATATTTTCCTTTTCTTAAAACTGAAAAAGACTTCCCTTCCGCTCGAACTTTTCCCGAACACATTCCTTATTTAGTTATTTTTTACGATGGGTTTCATATTCATGTGTAGGTAGGTCTTCTATTATTATTATTATTATTATTATTATTATTATTATTATATGATATATGAGATCATATGAAAAGATTATTCTGAAATTGGAGCATTCTAGAATTAGATCTCAACCTTCTCAAGAAGTTACTCTTCTGTTATTGGCCTAAAACCGCCTGTGTTTTGCAGTAATGCTTTTTCGATTTCATTTGAATTTTTATCTGCACCATTCGATTCGATCCGACCAACTTTGCATATCCTGCGCTTTTCTTCTGATTCCATATTTCACGGCTTGTCTCATATTAATCCCCATTAGTTTAGTGAGTGCTCATAGTTATTAACATCAATTCTCCCACCTGCTCTCACAGACAAATTCTCAACACACAGATGTTATCTTGATGGCCAATTCATCTGACGAAGCAAGACCAAATGAGTACTTACAAGAATTCTCGCGCAACCACATATCAAAATCTCAACTGCAATCCGTGAAGCCACAAACGCGCTTTGAACTAAGGACACATTTTATTAGGAAAATACCATACAGTGAATCACTCGTGGACATTACCCAATCAACTGCAGAGAATTAAGGATAGCAAATCAATATCTGACCTTGTCAAACAAACTCCATCTGACACTGCTAGAGGCTTGCATTTCTTGCTCAACTTCAAGGAAAGAGAAATACCATCATTTACAACGACTAATTAGGTCTTTAGACGGTACATATCCCCTAGGAAGTCAAGCCGAGAAAGCCCTTCCAAGTAAAAATTTAAAGCTAGCGCCAACCGCCTCTGTATCAGTAGAAGAAGAATTGGTGCCGTTAGCGGCAGCACGCACAGCAATTCCACGTTTTTCAGACCATACTCTTTTCCCAGCGACTTGAACGGCAGGTAATACGTGTAGCAATAGTAAGTTTGAACCATTGCGGTCACGGAGAGTAACATCGGCAGCTTGACGGGGAGATCTCTGGTTAGGCAAATGATCATCTGGACTGACACCAAGAGTCCGAATGTGTTGCCGCTTATGAAGAGGATGTACGCCAAGTCCCTGCCAAGAGAACCAGTCATCCAAAATGCATAGGATGCGAGGAAGCCTTTTGTAGAAGTATTGTTGACTTCTGTTGTAAATTGTGGAGGCTGAAGCACAGTTTGGTAGGTTGCGTTCGCAATGAGCGCGGCGACGACCAGCAGGGAGTTGCGTACGTCGCCCCTCGACTCTTTTTCTCTGTTCAAGGTTCTCAATGGGGGACGTGATAATGATAGAGGAGCATCCCCATCTGATTGATCTTCCTCCAAGACTTGTGGTGAAGCGGGCGAGACTGATCTTCTTGTTCCATGTCTGGCTCCAGCTTTTGTCAGAATTGCTCTGATCTCTCTATCTCCTGCTTCCCTTTGCGAGAAATCTAGAGGCGTCCTGCTACTATTGTTACAGACATTCACGTCCACGACCACGTGCCGCTGGCTAAGCATGAAGTCAACCACCTGCAATTTTCCCGTCTTCGTTTTCTGTTCTCATTGATTTTCAGACAATAAAAATAGTACCGTATAATTTTTGGCAAGGACGGACATCCTTTATTTCAGGGATGATCAAAACGGGTCCGATTCAATAGATTCCTTTGCTTAGAAGATTTTTGCATATTGTAGCGATATCAAATCGACACCCTTACATAAATCATGTGCCCGGAAAAGTGCGATAAAAAAAGGGAACGGCATGACTTGCCTCGAAATTTTGGATGGCGACAGCAAGATGCAAGGCGGTGTTGCCTTCGTTGTCCTGCTGATTGATGACAGGTGCGCAGTTATAATCCTTCAGATGCTCCACCAACACACGGACAGCTTCAAACCGGTTGTTCTTCACGGCGAGGTGGAGCGCCGTCTCCTTTCGGGCGGTTGTCTTTTCGACGGACTCAGGCAAATCGGAGAGCAGTTCCTTCATGACATCAAGCTCACCATTTACGATGGCATAATACAAAGGGATTCTTTGCTCCAGTCCCTCCACAGAGCACAGGTGTCGACCCACTTCCAAGAGCTCCCTCGCGATCTCAACATCACCTCGAGCTGCCGCGATGTGCAGCGGACTGAAACCATCCGCGTCCACTTTTTCCGCAAACTTTGGCCTCCACTTCCGGAGCACTCGGACTAAATCCAAATGGCCGGCCACACAAGCGACGTGCAGCGGCGTGTGACCAGCCCCTTCGAGAGCCATCTTCTCGAGGATGAGCCCATCTTTTCTGATCAAGTCATTCAGCTCATCGATATTGCCTGCTGCTAAAAACCGCTCCATCTGATCTAAACTAGTAATGGTCTCTTCTTGGGACACCCTTGCACTTGGACATCTAAATACAGATCCAACCGGTAGGACTGCGTATTAAAAAAAGACCAGAGTTGGACCTGCGCAACATTGGTCTTTGGCCAACTGCTTTTTTTTTTTTTTTTTATATTCACTAGAAGTCCTAAAACTTGTCACAAAAGTGCAATTGATAAGTCCTAAAACTTGTCAATAATTCAATCGAGTCCTAAAGTTAATATCGTCAAATTTACTTGCGAAAAATACTGACATGATGCTAACATGGCTAAAGTATGAAACATAAGAATAAAATGACGTCGTTTTGGCCCAAATTTAATTTTCAATACTACTTTTATTTAAATTAAATTAAATAGATTAGAAGTTTAGGGTGCAAATGATAATCATTCTGTTACTGGAAACAATTTGTAATAAAAAATAGGATTTTTTATTTCTATTCCCTGAACGAGTTTCTGAGTAGAGTAACGCATTTGATAACGACACAAAATTTCGGAAAAATTATCCAAAAAGTCCTAAACCTATTGCATTTTTGCCAATTTAGTCATAAACCTTTCAATTTTGTCAATTGAGTCCTAAACCTTTTCACTTTTTGCCAATTAAGTCCATCCGGTCAATTTTAACTGGAAATTGCTGACGTGGTGTCGCCAGTGCTGAAGTTGATAATTTTTAATAATATTTTATTATTTTTTCAAATTTTATTAATTTTTCCTTTTTCCTTTTCCTTTTTTTTTTCTGCCCTTTTTCCCTTTGGCCTGTTACTATGGAGAAAGGACGTAAGCTTGGAAATAAAGCTAAACTATTATAAATTGTTGTGTGCTATTTTTAATCTGCTCATTATCATCTATATTTGTCTGATAGTTGCACACCAACCTGCTTGATACTTTCAACTTAGTCTTTGTTACTATCGAGGTACGACTTGTTAACTTCCCGCGAGAAAAATTGTTCGAGATTTGCAAATAACCTATTCATCTCCCTCTAAGTTGTATTATTAACCCTAAAACTATTTTACTACAAGTTGTGCCGGCAAAGTTAGTCATTTATCACTCATTTCTTGGGTCGCATCTCCTTATGCAATTGCATCACGCATGACATCATTTTGTCTACATGAGTTCGTCAGTGAAGACCTTTGTGACAATACAGAGCTGAGTTCTTTGCAATTTCTACTACAGGCCGAGGGAAAGTACAGTGGTTTCCTTATCAACCTGGAAGATGACCGGACTTCAATGGATAGGTTTGAGCAGGAAATGATTACTCGACTATCTCTGCAACACAATTATAGCGACGCCGGGAAAGAGCAAGAAGGAAAAAAAAAAGCCGGAGGCGAGCCATGATTACACGACTATTATGTTTATTATACTCCCTCAAAGCATGTTTGTCATTTCATAGATTGCATGTGTTCATATTGGGAAATTTAGAGATGCCTTCAAATTCTAAATAAAAAAATTGATTGTGACTAAAAATAATTCCTAAGTCGTTGTCTTCTTGTGGTACTCGACATATGCTCCCTAGTGGCCTTAACAACCAGCCCATTATTCCTATAGGCTCTCGAGGGTCACCCTCTCTTTATCGCGAAGTAATAATAGCGAACTCATATAATTTCAAGTAACTAGAAAAATGAACAGGTTAATTGACCTAGACTTAGCAAAGTGCTGAGTCTTCGTCTTCGTCTTCGTCTTCTTGGTATTATCCGGTGAATGATCAGTCCATCGACTGCTCCATGTGGGCCTTTTCCTCTTCGCTTCTTGGATTCTTCCTCTCCGCGTGCTTATTCGTTGCCTTCCAGGCATTACCGCGCTGCCCTTTTTGACCGCTGCATCAGTGTCGCGTCGAGAAGCAAGGGAAAAGAAAGAAAAGAAATATAAGAACGTAATAGCTGGACAACACTTCAACATATGAAATAATTTAGAGGTTTCATTTTATGGGAGTAAAGCTCCCCGTTACTTTTAAATTCCATCTCATTAGACTAGAAAGATAGAATCAGAAGCAATTTTCCGTGTTCTCATGGATCAATGCGTAGCGACATGAGTGCGGAAGGGATCAGTGAATCGGTTTACCACGAATCAGGGCTCAAAATCAACTATTTCGGTGCACTGACCCCACGTAGGATGGATCTCTCTTAAAGACCAGTTTATGTTATTGAGAGAGTGGTAGGTAACACGTTAACTTTGGAGTAATTCACCAGAAGCTGATGATTGATTCCCTTGCCCAAAATATATCTATCCAAAGACCGGGAGTGCTTGATAATTTCCCCCCGCGTTGTCCATTTGCGGGTCCCCGAAGTCAGCGGTCTTGGTCATGCGTAAAATATAATATAGTCATGCATAAAATGCAATGTATATTATTGTCTAGTGTGTTGGTTGTTTGTTTGTAAAACAAATATAATAGTGCTTTTCCTTATCGCACATAGGATAGTTTTGATTGTGTGGGCCACTATATTAATGTGGATGTCTTCTAACTTGTTCAATTGAAGACGATGAGCTGTGGCTAGATCACACAATACCCGCGTTTTTTGCGCACTTAGTACTTAGCACACTCGCGGATGATAATTAGCATTAATCCTCATTTATTATTTATTATTTATTAAATTTCGAATTTATTGTAGCGCACTCGTGAATGATAATTATCATTAATCGTATTATTTATTATTTATTAAATTTCGAATTTATTATTATAAAATAACGGTTTTATTCTATTAAAACAGTATGACTGTTCGCAATAGAGTTGCGGTTATTTTTTTATTAATTAATTTCGAAATTTATTATTTTGCCTAACGGTTATTAAGCGTTCTTACAACCTTTGGAAGAATTGTGTTCATTCGGACATAACTACTTCACCTGGAATGTGAATGGTATGTAATACATCGAGCAATAGTAAGTTTGAACCATTGCAGTCACGGAAAGTAACAGCGGCAGCCTAATGGGGAGATCTTTGGTGAGGCAAATGATCATCTGGACTGACACCAAAAGTCCGAATGTGTTGCCACTCATGAAGGCGATGTACGCTAATTCCCTGCCAAAAGGTCCGGTCATCCAAGATGCATCAGATGTGAGGAAGCCCTTCGTGGAACTACTGTTGACTTTTGTTGTAAAGCTGGGAGGCTGATGCATAGCTTGGTAGGTTGCGCTCGCGATGAGCGCGGCGACGACTAGCAGGGCGTTGCGTATGTCGCCCATAGACTCTTTTTATTTGTTCAAATTTTTCAAAGGGGAAGCATTTGTGACTGGTTCCGCATCTGATTGATCTTCCTCCGAGAGTAGTCTTGAAGCGGACGAGTTTGATCTTTCTCTTCGATGTTTGGCTCCAGCTTCTCTGTCATTAACAAATTGGGTCCTTAGACTGTACATATTCCCTAAGAGGATAAACCAAGAAAGCCTTTCCAACCAAAAATCCAAAGCTAGCGCCAACTGCCTCTGCGCCAGTAGAAGAAGAATTGACATCGTTATCGGTAGCACGCTCAACAATTCCACATTTTTCAGACAAAACGCTTTATCCAGTAATGTGAACGGCAGGTAATACACGAAGCTTGAAGTCAACCCACCTGCAATTTTTTCCATCTTTGTTTTGTTCACATTGATTTTCAGATATTGTAAGGATACCAATTCTACACCCTCACTGAAATGATGCGCCAAGAAAAGTGCGATAAAAAAAGGGACCTGCAGCGAGATGCAAGACAGTATTGCCTTTGTTGTCCTTCCGATCGATCACCTACTCCTTCTTGTGCTGCTTCAGATGCTCCACCAACACAACTACCGCGGCAAAACAGTTGTTCTTCACGGCAAGGTGAAGCGCCGTCTCCTCTCGGGCGGTTGTCTCTTCGGCGGACTCAGGCGAAGCGGAGAGCAGTACCTTCATGGCATGGAGCTCCCCGTCCACGACGGCATAATGCAAAGGGACTCTCCTCTCCCTCCCCTTCACAAAGCATAGGTGTGGACCCACACTCAAGAGCTCCCTCGCTGTAATAACCGAGAGAGAGAAATTGGGAGACGAGGAGGGGACATAGAGACGAAAAGTGGGGGAAAGACAGTAAAAAAAATAAAAATTAAAATCACGAAAAATCCCAAACTATTATATTTATAACAATTTTACCTCAAATTAATTTTTTGATCACAAAAAATTTCAAACTGATATATCTGTGATAAATTTATCCCAAACTGGTACACTAGTGACAAATTTACCGTCCGTTAAATTTGATTAATATCACGAAAAATCACAACCTAGTAATCCTATGATAAACAGAGAGATAAAACTTTAAACTGATACACCGTCAACTGCCACGTATCATCCAACTCAACAATTTGATTAAAAATTTAATGAAAACTAACAGAGAGTAAATTTGTCACATGTGTACTAGTTTTGAATTTTTAGTGATCAAAAAATTAGTTTGGGGTGAATTTGTTGCAAGTGTACCAATTTGAGATTTTTTGTGGTATTAACCTTAAAAAAAAAGGAGAGAGAGAGAGGGAAGTAGAGCCGTGAGGGTGAAATAGAGGGAGAAGAAAACAAAGAGGACAAAAAGAGAGAAGGGAAAAGGAGAGTGAAAGAGAGAGGGAAATAAAAAAGGAGAGAGCGACTTGGTAAAAAGCAAGAGAAAATCAGGATAAGGCAGTCACTACCTTTGTTATTATTTTGAAATGGCATGGTAAAATATTTCTCCAAGTAGTTTATGAGTTGATTATTTGGGAAAATGGTTTGAGAAATGCTTTATGAAAGTAATTACAAAAAGGCCATATGTATTGATTTGTGAACCTAATTTATCAAATTTATCCAATTGTGAAATGCTATATATTATAATTTTGGAAACCAATTTCTAGATTGGTTTTGTAGATTATTGAAATATAATGTTAATGGTTTGATACTCATTATCGTCATGAACCCGGTGAGGGGTTTTTGAGTTTACATATTGGTTTCGGGATTTTTTTGGGCCAAGCCACTGACAATATGTGTGGAGAGACCTAACCAATGAGATAAATCTTGGTCACCTTGTCACGATGCATTATGCTGTGATCATAGTTGGATATTGATCATAAGATTGAGTAGTGGCATGAATTAATGATGAGTGATTGAAATCATTCAATAGAATGAACCATTGATGTGTGGTTGAGCAAGAGATTGATTAATGAAATGGACTATCAATGTGTGATGTGAGATTGATCAATAATTTGGATCATTGATGTTTGTTTTGATATGGTTGATTAAATGGGTAAATAACCGCATTTCACTGTTCACTTTTAACAGGTTTTCACTATTCACTTTGATTGTATTGCACTGTTCACTCTGATCGTATTTCACGGTTCATTCCGACAGAATGCGTACTAAACCGTATTGAAATGAAATTAACTCATGTTTGAAATGGTACCTACACATTGTATTGGATGCGGGAGTATTAATCACTGGTTGACCGGCGGGTGGAACTTCTTAACCCTGTTTTGCTTTTGGATTGGATTTCTGTCTTTTCTCTCTCATTGAAGTCGCTGCCTTCATTTGAACAAATTAGAAAACACCCACATTTATAAAGTAGCCCGCACAATCTTAACTTTTCTATTTGAGATAAGAAAAAATACTATTAAAGCTCGTTGTTACTTTTGAATTTCATCTTATAAGACTAGAACGAAACGATCAGAAGTAACCATTCGTATTGACAAATAAAGAACTATGCACGTGGACAACCATGCTTTCAGTAGTCAGCGGTCTTGGTCATGCGTAAAATATAATATAGTCAATGTGTAAGGTGTGATGTATATTCTTGTCTAATGTTTATAGGCCTCCTGTGCCTCTGTGAGTGATAGCGCGAGATCAAGCGATGGCTTTGGGTCCGATGGCTTGGATGGCGGTGATACTGGCCGTTGTGATTCTGTCTCTCACATTCGGTCCGGGTTGGTCCCTGGTGTTTCTAATTCTGGTCGGAGTGATTTTTGGTGAAGTTCCTAAAGGAAAACAAGAAGAGCAAGAAAAGCAAAATCTTCTAGATGGTGCTCGGGCTTGTGATGCTCCGGCTCATGCTCCGGATCATCTAATTGATGTTCCGGCTGATGCTTCGGATCATGCTCCGGCTGATGCTCCGGTTGATGCTCCGGCTGATGCTCTGGCTCATGTAGTTGATGTTCGAGCTGATGGTTTGGCTCTTTCAGTTGATGCTACGGCTTCTCTGGCTGATGCTCCGGCTCTTTCGAGTGATTCTCTGGCTCCTCCGGTTGATGCTCCGGCTGATGCGGCTCGTTCAGTTGATGCTCTGGCTGATGCTCCGGTTGATGCTCTGGCTCTTTCAGTTGATGCTCCGGTTGATGCTTCCGCTCTTGCTCCTGCAGTTGTTGCTGCTGGAATAGAGATGAGAAGCGAGCGGGTTAGTTTTCTCTGCATCTTTGGGATTTGTATTGTTACTTCAAACTTCCTTGACATTAATTCGGTGGAATCGGTCCTCCTGCTTGCAATTCAACCCAGCAAATGCTAAAAATTGTCTACAATGCTACAAATCTTCTTTGGCATGAACGATCGAACCACTGAATTTAGAAAACCAGGAGATCCTATCCAAACTCCAAGCACTATTGATATTGTACGCTAGGCCTGTTTATTACTTTTGCTTTCTCCTAAAATTTAAAACATTATTTAAATTTCGAAAGTGTTACGAAATAAATTACTTGTGAATTCATGTATTGACATTTGAGTGTTACGAGAGTTATGAGTATTTTTAATTATTTAAAGAAGTCAAAAATACGCTAGTCGCAAGATTCAGGTGCAGCGCACTTGCTGTTTAAGGTTCGCCTCCATCAGACCATAAGACTTTTTTTTTTTTCCTTTAGTTAGGCTAGAAGCACAAGACTTGGTCTGGAAAACCATGTTTACTATGTGAAGTGGTTTATTTTCCTTGATTTGACAGGAAGCATCTTCAACCCCATCGTCATTGCCCGGATTCGAGCATGACGTGCTGTTTAAGGTTCGCCTCCATCAGACCATAAGACTTTTTTTTTTTCCTTTTGTTTGGCTAGAAGCATAAGACTTGGTCTGGAAAACTATGTTTACTATGTGAAGAGGTTTAGTTTCTTTGATTTGACAGGAATCATCTTCAACCCCATCGTCATCGTCTGGATTCGACGTATTCTTGAATTTTAGAAGTCCAGATACTCGCAAGGGATTCACGGATCACCTTTATAGCAAGTTGGCAAATGCACGGATCATGGTCTTCAAAGACGATGAAAACCTCTATGCCGGAGAAGAGATCAAGCCGGAGCTAAAAGAGGCGATACAGCAGTCGAGGATCTCAATAGCCGTCTTCTCCAAAGATTATGCTTCTAGTAAAAGTTGCCTCATGGAGCTGGTAGAAATGTGGGAGTGCAGAGAATCAAAGGGACAGACTATCATCCCGATTTTCTATGATGTTAGTCCCATGGATGTAAAACACCAGGCTGGGGATTTTGAGAGGTCCTTCAATCTACATGAGTTGGACGGAGTCAACTCAAATACCATCAAAAAATGGAAGCAGGTTCTTCGAAAGATCGCGGGATTAAGCGGATTTGGACGGGAACTCATAAATGGGGGGTAATGCTTTTACTTCTGGTTTTCCTTTTTCTTTCCTAGATAAATGGAAAAAAGAAAAGTGTAATTAATATCGATAATGATCGAAAACTTTAACAATGCATAAGAATAGACCGTGTGGGTTGATTTAATTTTTGTCGGTCAATTCACTTTCATTTTTGTCTACTTTTTAGTATTTTTGGTGACTTTCTTGTCTTCCTCGTGCTTCATCACTTACGTTTTGCAGGCACGAGAGCCAGCTCGTCGAAAAAGTTGTTGCGCGTGTGCGGCAACTGTTGAAGATGGATGACCAACTTGTGACCGACAAACTAGTTGGAATTGATCATCATGTTGATGAGATGATGAGAAAGCTTGGTGTTGCCTACAGCGAGGGACAAGTGGTCGGAATACGAGGAGAAGAGGTACGCGTCGTCGGAATATGCGGTATGCCGGGTGTCGGAAAGACTACACTTGCAAAGGTTGTCTTTAACAAGATGCATAAGTTGTTTGATGCATATAGCTTCCTTGAAGGTGTTAGTCTGGAAGGAATCCAGTTTGCACAACAAATTTTGATTGCTGACCTTCTAAAAATAAGACCAAAACCGCTAAAATCCATCGATGAAGGAATTCAAAATATAGCAGATCTATTTAGTGATATGAAGGTTCTCATTGTGCTCGATGATGTACGGGAGGATGAACAAATTAAAGCATTAGCTGGGAAGCTTACTTGGTTTGGTCTGGGAAGTAGAATCATTGTGACGACAACGAAAAGAAATGTTTTAAATGCTTTCGATGATGGAGCATCTGATGTTCAGACAGTTGAGGAATACAAGCTTGAGCCAATGAGTGATCACCATGCCCTTCAACTCTTTCGTGAGCATGCTTTTGCAGGGGAAGCTCCCGAAGGTGTCTCTGAGTATGATTCCTTGTCCATAGACATTGTCAAAGCTATTGGAGGGCTTCCTTTGGATGTTGCGCGTTATGCTTCATTTTTACGCAGCAATAGGAATATACGTATGTGGAAAACTACCTTGGATTTATTGCAAGAAAAACCCAGAAAATAGGCAATCTGCCTTTCTAGTCAGTTATGCATGAGGATCAGAGCTTGAAAATTCCAGTGAAGGCAATCAACTCACAAGCCCAATTCAAGATTCATCAGTTAACCAAAGCCCGTTTGCTAGTTGGGCATGCAAATGGAGTGGATTTTTGCCCATCCAAGGAGCATAGCGTGATCCAACAGGTTCAATGAGGAGGAAGAAACCCTGAACTTTTGGAGTTTGAACGCATTGCACAAATCTTGATGCGATGCAAGGCCGGAGGTTTGAATTGTAAGTTTTTCATGTGTTTTTGAATTTCGTATGACTTTAATGTTTCCTAGTTACCTCTATAAATATGTGGCACATTCTCCGTTGGAAGAATTCGGATTTGAGTTTGATCATGTATGAAATTTTTTACTCAAGTAAGTGAATCCTTCAATTTGGTTCTTTATCCAATTCTTTGGTGGCGAACCTTATAAGTTCTTTATCTTGAACGGTGAAAGACTTCTTTATACTTTACTGTTGTACTCCATCTATCCCTAAGTTACTTTCCAGTTTCCATCAAACGCTTTCAGTTTCTTCTTAATCTCACCATGCATCAGTGACGAATCTTTAGATGTACATACATAGCATTGACATATCATAAAGGAAAAGGAGGGCGATTGATTTAAGTAAAACAACAAAAAAAAAGAAGATCTAAGCGGGAACTATTTTTCTAAAAAAAGGATATCTTGATCTATAGGATTTTGAATATTACTGAGTATAGTAAATATACCGTAAAGCTGAGGTAATTGCTTGAGAATCATTTGAAATGTGACTTTAGCTATTAGAGAGAGGTTCTTGCGAGTTTTGACTTGTGAGAAAGGTTGCTTTGCCTCGAGAAATTTTCAATTCAATAACATCATGATGGCACAAATTCTAGAATAGACTTCCTAACACTTTGGACGGCTCAATTCCCTAAAAAATTCCCAACTTTAGCCTTTGTCCCAATTATATTCCAAACTTTTTTTTGTCTCATAAAAACCCCAGACTTTTACTTTTGTCCCAAATCTACCCCGTTTACTATTCATCCAATTTTTTAATATTATTTTTATTTTTTCGAATTTTTTTCTTTTTTCTTTTCTTTTTTTTTTGTTTCACCTTCAACCTCCGGCCGGTCGCCGGTCCGGCGACCGGCCGTAGGCGAGGGCCGGCGAGGTCGGTCTCGCCGGCCGCTAAGCGAGGCTCGGCCTCGCCGTTCTTTGGCGAGGCCGACCTCGCCGCGGCCGGCGGGCCGAGCCTCGCTAGATCTGGGCGAGGCTCGCCGCCGGCGCACTGCGAGTCGGCCTTCTTTGTTCTTGGGCGAGGTCGGCGAGGCCGAACCTCGCCGTTCTTTGGGCGAGGCCGACCTCGCCCGGCTACCGGCGGGGCCGACCTCGCCCGGCGGCCCGGCGGGGCCAAGCCTCGCCCGGATCCGGTGAGTGCGCCGCCGCACGGCACGGTGAGGCTCGGCCTCGCCCGCCAACGGCGAGGCCGACCTCGCCATCGGCCCCGCCGGCAGCCGGCCGAGGTCGGCCGAGGCCGAACCTTGCCGTTCTTTGGGCCAGGCCGACCTCGCCGGCGGCCGGCGGGCCGATGGCGAGGTCGGCCTCGCTGTTCTTGGGCGAGGTCGACCTCGTCGGCGGTCGGCGGTGCCGATGGCGAGGTCGGCCTCGCCGTTCTTTGGCGAGGCCGAGCCTTGCCAGCTGCCGGCGGGGCCGACCTCGCCGGTCCTCGCCTCTGGCCGGTCGCCGGACCGGTGACCGGCCGGAGGTTGAAGGTGAAACAAAAAAAAAAAAGAAAAGAAAAGACAAAAGAAAAAAATTCGAAAAAATAAAAATAATATTAAAAAATTGGATGAATAGTAAACGGGGTAGATTTGGGACAAAAGTAAAAGTTTGGGGTTTTTTATGAGACAAAAAAAAGTTTGGGATATAATTGGGACAAAGGCTAAAGTTGGGGGTTTTTTAGGGAATTGGGCCCAAATTCAATTGACCACGTCTCTCTCTCTCCTTCGCCGCTGCGCCGTAGTCTGTATACCTCGATCAAACGGTGTCGTCTCCATGATCCCAACAGTGCATGACGTCACGGTCTTTCATTGAGAGCCTTGACGAAACGACGGTCGTATCAGGCACCACTGTGCGCCTTGGCAACGTCCGCGGGTCCACGATGCTTGCTCGATGCCATGCCGTCTTTTCAACAACAAAAATTAACGGCAGCTTCACGGATGCTTGAGCCTCGACCAAAAGTCGGTGCTTTTCTTCGGCACAATTGAAAAAGTTGGTGTCGGAATCGGATTGAAGTCACGAGATAGTGTTTTTTTTAGAGAATTTGACCTTCACTTCATTGCGAATATTTTTTTTTTTGTTAGGTTGAAAGATAAAATTATCTCCGTAGGCCATCCATATATGTCATATATATTTTATTCGAAGAATAGACTATGCTCTCTTTTCTCGATTTATATGTATATTGTTATGTGATGTTTACCGCACTTGTGGTGCTCACTCCACATGGATGAATACGGGAAGAGTGTCAAAATAGTCATAAACTTTTTTGCATTAATGTCAATTTAGTCATAAACTATTTTTTGATGCTAATTCAGTCCTAAACTTTTTTTCTTTATGTCAATTCAGTCCTTCCGGCTATTTTTTTTATCGGATTTTACTAATGTGGACGCTGGCCGGCCTATGTGGTACCACCGGCGATGATGTGGACAACTTTTAATAATATTTTGATTTTTTAATTTTTTTTTCTTATTCTTCTTCCTCCAGCCGGTCGCTAGATCGGCTACCGGCTGGAGACCAGGGCCGGTGAGCCCCGTCGGCTAATGGCGAGGCTCGCCCCGCAGGCCACTGACGAGGTTCGCCCTCGCCAGCGAAGGCGAGCCTCGCCAGCGGCTGGACGAGGCACGACCTCACCGAATCTGGCGAGGTACGAGCCCACCCATGGCCGGTGAGGCTTGACCCTCGCCAAATCCTACGAGGGCTAACCGCGAGGGTGGCCTCGAGTTAGGCTGGGTGAGGCGTGACCTCGCCGGATCTAGCGGGGTCGGGCCTCCCCCATGGCCGGTGAAGCTCTACCCTTGCTAGATCCGGCGAGGTTGCACCTCGCCCAACCTAGTGTGAGGCCACCCTCGTGGCCATCCAGCGAGGGTCGAGCCTTGCCGCCCTCGCCAAAGGCTGGCAAGGCGGGGCTTGCTACAGGCTAGCGAACCTCGCTGGCTCTAGCCTCCAGCCGATCGCCAGACCGGCAATCAGCTGGAGGAACAAGAAAGGGTAAGAAAAAAACTTACAAATAAATTTGAAAAATATTAAAATATTATTAAATTTTGTCCACGTCATCGCCGCGCAGTGACACGTAGGCCAGCTAATGTTCACATCAGCAATATTCGGCCAAAATTAGCCGGATGGACTAAATTGGCACAAAGATGAAAGGTTTAAGATTGAGTTGACACCAAAATAAGGTTTATGACTAAATTGATACAAATGCAAAAGGTTTATGACTTTTTTGACATTTTTCCCGGATGAATACTATGCCAAGTGGCCTTTGTAAAAGATAAGGAAAGGCACGGGATTCGGATGGTGGCCCATCCCGTCGAATCAAACTTGTGGGAAGAAAACAAGGAACGGGGCGGCAGAGCGAGCAATTTCGCAGCGCGAGGTCGGGCCGGGCTAATGTTAACTTTGCCTCTCCCCTCCCCACCCACCCACCCGCCCACCTCGCAAAGAATATTAATAAAAGAAAATTGTAATACGTAAAACACAAGGTTGCGAATGATAATTATTTTATTTCTCTTTTTTTCTATTTTTCTATTCCCGATAATAGATTTGGAATAGAAATCAGTTTGGAAACGCAATTTTGCGTTTTTTTTTCTGGAAAAAGTTCTGATTTTAGAAATAGATTTGGAATAAAAATGAGAAGTAAAAATTTTCTACTTTTTTTATTTCTAGAACAAAAATGAAAAATAAAATTGCTCGCTCTCCGCCTATCATCCGCCGCCTCCTGTCGTCGCCTGCCAACCTCCTCTCACCGTTGCCTGCCAACCTGCTCCCACCGTTGTCCGCCTCCCATCGCCGTCCTCCGTACCGGCTACGTCGACGTCTGCCTCCCGTCGCCGCCCGCCACTTGCCGTTCGATGTCCTCTGCCGCCGGCTGCCTCCCGCAGTCCTCCGCCGCCCGGGAGGGAAAAATTTTGTGCCATTATCAAACGAATTTTTTTTCAAAAACAGAAATTTTGGTTCGTTATCAAATACGTATTTTTGCTTAGAAACTTGCCATGGAATAGAAATAGAAAAATCTTTTTATGGCCAGAAATTAAATTTGGAACAAAATGATAATCATTCACGCCCAAACTCTCCCATTTTGCCCCTTTGCTGTTTATTCAATCTTTATTTACAAACCCTACAAAACTAAAAGAAATTAAGCAAACTGCAAAAGGAAAAATCTAAAACCCAAAATACAACCTTCACCGTTTTGCCCCTTTTCTCGTTCTGTAATTGTTATCATCTTCTAGGAAAATGATGCAGAAGAGGTGATAGGGAGTCTAATCGGACTGCTAAGCCCATTGGTACAAAGATCCAAACTTGATTTGAAACATATAATTGCGTTATATTTCACTAATTCGATAATCTAATTTGAATCATATAATTGTTATAATTGTTGCAAACAATACAGAATTGTAAAGAAATGAAATTACAATAACATAATTTAAATCGATGCAAATGGATACCGAAGCCTGTGTTCGACACAGTTTCCATAAAACAAATTCGTTCCCTCCAGCATGCGTATGAGGTTTTGTGAATATCTGTCTCCCAGGATACAACGGTTGACAGTTAAGAAGAAATCGGCACTTCAAAGCTTTCGACAAACTTGAACAAACCGGAACCGAATACTATCGAAAAACAGTGCAAAAATGCAGAGAAAATCGAAAGAGAGGAATAATTAGATGATTTTTAAAATAGAATGGGAAGGCGTCTATTTACAAGGTCAAGGGGGAGTGTTTCATTTTGGGAATAATAACGACCGATTGAATCTACCGTTATAAAATTAATACGCATCGGGAATAACAGCTGATTAAATATGCCGTTATAAAATTAATTCCATAACAGCTTTACCGTTATAAAATTAATTCTGTAACAACACAATTTAATGCCATTAACAATACGTTACAAATTAAAATTTGTAACAGACGGCAAAATTGGGCTCGTCGTGACTTGTCAGGCGTCGGATTTGCAACCCTATAAAATTAGTACGCATCGGGAATAACGGCTGATTAAATATGCCGTTATAAAATTAATTCTGTAACAACACAATTTAATGCCATTAACCATACGTTACAAATTAAAATTTGTAACAGCTTGAGTTGAAAAATAAATCAGAATGCAAAATTGAGCTCGTCGCGAGGCTCACTTTCCGTGTACACAGGACGTACGCTCGCGCCCAAGTTTCAGCTTGTCGGGCATCGGATTTGCAACTCCCCCATACGTTACAAGTTTCAGCCTGTGTTCAACACAGTTTCCTTAAAACAAATTCGTTCCCTCCGGTATGCGTATGAGGTTTTGTGAATATCTGTCTCCCAGGATACAACGGTTGACAGTTAAGAAGAAATCGGCACTTCAAAGCTTTCGGCGAACTTGAACAAACCGGAACCGAACACTATCGAAAAACAGTGAAAAAATGCAGAGAAAATCGAAAGAGAGGAATAATTAGATGATTTTTAAAATAGAATGGGAAGGCGTCTATTTACAAGGTCAAGGGGGAGTGTTTCATTTTGGGAATAATAAAGACCGATTGAATCTACTGTTATAAAATTAATACGCATCGGGAATAACAGCTGATTAAATATGCCGTTATAAAATTAATTCCATAACAGCTTTACCGTTATAAAATTAATTCTGTAACAACACAATTTAATGCCATTAACCATACGTTACAAATTAAAATTTGTAACAGCTTGAGTTGAAAAATAAATCAGAAGGCAAAATTGGGCTCGTCGCGAGGCCCACTTTCCGTGTACACGGGACATACGCTCGCGCACAAGTTTCAGCTTGTCGGGCATTGGATTCGGGCATCGGATTTGCAACTCCCCCCCCCCCCCCCCCCTCGGCGCTTGCGCGCGAGGCATAGTGTTTGTGCTATGATAGTTACCACTTCAAATGAATGTAACTGTATATAAAGCACTACATAGCCTTCTTTCTTTTTCAATGTGGGACTAGTGTTTTTCCATTTCCCACTTTCAACTCAAGGGTGTTCTTTGAGCATCAATTTCTTATTCATTCATCCATCAATTTATCCCATATTGCCAACAATAATTGCGTCATCAAGTGCTTCGATAATATAATATTCTGCATGACAAATAAAAACAACTAACAAATATTTTATTACTCTATAATATAAATAGAGTTAAAAATTTACCATGCACGGACAACATTTGGTGTAGAATTTTCTATCGAAGATATTAAGATCAAAATTTTGAGTTGCTCAAATAAAAATATCAATACAAGCTTAAAGTTAAGATTATTTTCTTTTTCCTTTTGGTCAGAAAGATTTATTTCTTTGAAACATTGAAATTAAGAACGTTTATGGTGTTTCCAATCTTCTTAGAGATTTACCATTATCTTTTGTACAGATGCAATAATCATGAGACACAACATTGAAATCAATGTATGACTTTTCGATCTATACATTGTTCTTTTGTTATTATAAAATAATCGTTTCAAAGTTAATTAATATAATTGTGTCTTCTAGTTAAGGGTAATATTTATAAGTGAACAGTATATATATTCATATAAGAGTTTCATCTTTTCATATTACTTTAAAGAAAACATACACTCGTGGTTACCTAGTAGCTAATTATATATACAGGCAAATTCATTTCTCCACATCTGCTTCTTTGCTTGCTCAGATAATGTTTATTCTCTCATATAGAGACATATTAAACAATACGTGTGCTGGATGAATGAAATTTATCCTCTTGGAGATCTTTCCAATACACGGTAAGGGCAACTACTTTAATTTATAATAGGAAAGAGAACTGAGCCCGCATATCCAATTATAACTTTTAGCGGTGAATAGCAGTTAATCCACATACTATAAGATTTTATCATACACATGTAATAGGTATTTTCGATTTCGTGAAATTGCCATCGGTGTTTCCATCCATCACGACCATCGACAATCTAACGATCTAGATTTGAATTTTCTCATATAGTTAATTAATCACGAGAGGATGTACATGGTCACGCTTCAGAGGAAACCATTCTACCAAAACCCGCCATTGATAATATTTCTTACTATGGCAACGTGTTAAATGCAAATTGTGCAACTCAATCCATGGCAATAATGAGCATATGAGCATGACTAGATATTTACCTATTTATTAGTGCAAGTCTATCCACAACAATAATAAACATGATCAAATATTTACCTATTTGTAGAGCCCTTCATCTATTGGTGCTCCACACATTAGCCAATTGAATTTCTCCTTGTTTCTTACTAGTCCTTCAAGCACTTCAAAGCAAGACCCTTGCGATGCCTACAAAAAAACAAAGAAGCCAGAATCATATCTCACTCGCATCTTTGAAAACCTCTTTTGCATGCATCCAATGATCATGTCTCCGATACTCGGACCTTGCGTGTAAATAAGTATCGGATCAATGATTTACCAAAAAAAATGTTTCGTTCTTGGTAAGGCGTGTCAAAATATGTATGCTAGATGAATGAGTTTAACCGTTGTTAGAGATCTTTCCGACCAATGGTAGCGGCAACTACTTTAATTTATAATAGAAAAGATATGTGAGCCCGATATGACGAACTATAACTTTCAGAAATAAATAGAGGTTTATCTATAAGGTTTTATCTGGTACATGCAATAGCCATGTTCAATATCATGAAATTGCCATCGACGCTTTCATCCATCAAATGCTTCATCCTTGGTAAGATCTCTCTCTCTCTCTCTCTCTCTCTCTCTCTCTCTCTCTCTCTCTCTCTCTCTCAAATGATGATTATGATATCGGATCTTTTTAATCTGAATAACAGCTTAAGGCACTGTGATGGCGAGGAGACGGAAAAGAACTCTTGCAGCAGTGAAGTTTCCATCCATTCGAAGTGCTACTTCGTTGCTGGATGATGGCCCAGACTTCAATCCTTTCTGATGCAGTCGTTATACTCGACATCCTCCGCGGCCGAATGCATATGAAGCTGAGAATCGAGAAGATTGCCCTAGCCATATCCTCTGGTGGGTTTCTCAGCGTGAGGTTTGCCTAGGTTTCCATGCTAATGTCCACATGGAATTCCTCATTTGATTTAAAGCGAGCTGCTACTCTCCCTCCTCAGAAAATTATAGAGGAAGAGAACTTGGGAACAAGTTAAACGGTCAACGGGTTCGACGTTTCATCTATCTGATGTAAAGTTGTATGAGAGCCGGTCAATATGAATGGTGTGTGTGTGAGAGAGCTTCCTTGATATAAGGCAAAATGTTAATCTTCAAAAATGAAATTAATGGTAATTGCAGTTACGGTGCTTTCAATAATGTGCAAGTCTATTTTCAACTAATGTATTTTAACCAAAAAGTATCCAAATTCAAGTGATGGTAAATTTTCTCTTAATTTGACGACTAATCAAAATTTTGACATGATCAATGTGGTCATAATATGCAACATACTTCAGTTGCGTAAATATGGACTTTTAAATGTTTAGTGTTGAGTTTGAAAATTGGATAAACATCAAGGGTTATTCATTTGGTTTTCCATTTTGATATCAAACCGTTCGCCCTACAGTGACTATTTTGGTTCGTCAAATTCAACTTCATGAAAGAAAATACAAGCAAATCCTCGCCATATTTCTAGTTCACAACAGCCGCGGTTAGAGCCCCAAGTCGAAAAGGCATCTCGATGTTTCCCTTTGAAATTCATGTCTCGACTATTTTCTTTGAAGACAGTGAATTTTCTATAGGTTCTTATTTTTTCTAATCTCGAAATTTTATGGGACTAACTATCAAACACTCAGTTATGGAGCCATTCAAAAGGGTTAAACACAATCCATGCACTGATATGGAGTTACTCCTAGTACATACAATTTTGGTAGATAGGAGAAAACATATTAGACATAGAACAGAGACGATATGAACTTTTTTTATTACACGAAGTTTGTGTGATTCGTCAATCGTCTTGGTAGGAGATAATCATCTTGTCCATGCAGTTGTCAATGGCTTTGGAAGCTCTAAGCTCTCGCCATACGGCTAAGCCATCAGTCAACTCCATGGATGATGATGTTCATCGTTACCTGGTGGAGTTCTGGACTGAACAGAGCAGTCCAGGGGACTCTCTGTGTCACCCTTGCTCTCTGCCTCATCAATCATCGTTCCCACCGCCGTGGCACTCCATGATCTCCTTGTAATCGTGCCATGGCCTTCGCTCGAGCGCGAAGTTAAGCTCACCATGAGTAAGAAAACGCTTTGAAAAGACAAGAGGATGGAATGGTGAATTTGATAATTACTGGTAATAAGTTACTGAATATTGTTAATTCCTTTCCAAACGTGGAATTGAGAATACGCGATCATCATTAGTACATTTCAGTAATATAATTGGTGTAATTTTAATCACTCTTTTTATTGAATATACTAAGAAATTCCTCCGCTACTTGATATCTCAAGTGAATTTTAACTTAGTTGTTCCTCAATGCGAATTGGGAATATCGAACTCGAACATGCTTAATCGCATGAGTGTTGAATTCCACATCAGGCTCTTCAGTGGCAGAATTCTCGTCTCCTTCTTGTTGACCCACATGCTGACGACGCACTCGATTCGAACTGTGTGCTCCGTTTGGATTCTGTACTCATCGATCCATGCTGAAGTATTGGAGTGGGGCTCTGTCTATAGAATTGAGGTAATCTGTTTATAAAAATTCAGTTGTCTTTGAAGGGATGATATTGGCGATATCTTGGGTCCCTGGAGGGGCTTCGAAGGTGTCCCGAGGCGGCCGAACCGCCCACCAAGAAGGAAGTTGAAGAGATTTTGAGGAGTAGAGTTCTCGAAGGAAGGTAAAAAGAAAGTCTCCTTTTAGTGTGTTTGGCCATGTTTTCATTGCATTGTTGGCGATCTGCGATAGGGTTATGGTTCGATTGTATGATTTGAGTGAACTGAATGTGTGTTGGTGCTAATGACTAATGTGGAGGTTTGGCCCGTTCTTGAACTATCTGTTTAGATCAATGCTGTCCTTTAAGATGGCCTGTCATTCTTGGTTGTTTTCAGTGAAATGAAGTTGAATCAGTGACCAAGAACAGTGCAGTGGAATCATACTAGCAATTAGCAAGGAGTACCCAATAAAGCTGTTTATATATATTATAATAGTCAATTTAGATAGAATAACGGTCAGCCTGTTTGGGCATGTAAGAACTGCATGTGTTTCCAAGAGCATGGAAAATTTCTATGTTAAGAGTTAATGGGCATAGTCTTTGCATTTTCCTTCCTTCTGGTTTGATGCTGCTGTACAATGTATGTTGAGGAGCTTATTCAAGAGAGATAGCTGTGTTTGCTTTAGTGAAATTGTTGAGAGAGAAACAATAATTGCAGATATTCTGTTGTTGTGGCTTGTTCTTGATTTCCATGTAGTGGAGATAGTGATGGCAAGGAGGATGTAAAAACATGGATGCGGTTCCTTTAGAAAAGGCTGATGAAGTTCTTACTGCATTATCTGCCGCTGCTGCACGTGGGAGAAGTTCCAAGACAACAAAAGTTCGATCTGGTTTTGAGGATATAACTGATGGTTTGACGGAGCTTGAATTGAATAATTACGATAGAGATGAAGGTATATTCCTTTCTGTGTGTACTCGGTTTTTATTTTCTTTTAATAAGTTAGTTTCTTAGTTCATCCAAAGGAAGATGGATGGCTAATTCCTATTTGGATCCCGAAAAAGGGGCATCAGAATTACATGCGGATGCCCCATCTAATACACAAGGACTCATTTAAATCACTAACAGGAGCCAGCCAAACTCACCAGAACGAGTCACGGATGTATCATGAATCTTAGTAGTATCAGAAATCCAAACATGGTCTACATGTGCTCTCCAAGCCAACTTCAAGAGCAAAGAATGAAGGCTATACCTGTCAAAGTCCTTTTGAGTTAATTAAACTCAAAACTCTATTCCCCAATAATCATGCTTTATAAAGCCAATGTATGCTGCCAAATCTGCTTGCTAAGAGGCAAGTAAAATATGTCACAAGAACACCGCCACAGAAAACTATAGAAGGAGAAATGAAATAACTATGCTTGGGCATTCTACTGCTTTAGGCAAGCTTATTTTGACTTGGTAGCCACAGAAATAAAACTGTGTTCAGGAATATTTGAAGGAAAACATGTGAATTTTATGCCGATCCATCTTATTGCTCCTGCCGACCAAAGGAAAAATCTTATTGCTCCTGTCCCTTTTAGAATTGAACTTATATAGAAAAGTCTAATCTTTCACAAGATATAATTTGTAACTCCATGGTTAGGTATTGTAGCTCCACGAATGGGTGCTTGTATAGCAACAAGAGCATCAGCACAAGTGAGAGGCCTTCTCCATTTATTATCTTGAATGACTACAAAAACTTATTCTTGGAAAGACTAAACGCTGTGTGAGAACTTGTCTCAAGATTGCCTTTCCACTGGTTCTTCTATATTGCGTGAGATGTGGTACTAGCTAGCTAGCTCATTACAGAGCTTCTTGGTAAGTGAGGCAGCTAACAGTTACATGGACATAAAATTTAGTGCATGGTAGAATAGCTGAGAATTGGGATGGTCAATCGCATGGAAAACTAGCTTTTAAAGGTTGTACCTTGAGCTGTCAATCGCGTTTTAACCTGGAGGCAAAATTATGAATGAAACTGAGTAATGACCCAGTAATGGAAGAGTAAGAGAGGAGGTCGCCAGGAGGAAGTCAGGCCTCTGCCCAAAAGCCGCATCTTAGAGGCTGTCCCATTAATTGATTATAATGATTGGAAATGCTGAGAGCTGTTCTATTCCAAGCTTGCTTATATGTCTTCTGGACTGGTGGTAACGTGATGACGGAATGAAGGGAAAGGGAACTATTCATCCTGAGAGTAAAGACTTCTTTCAACCATAGTTTAGTAGTAATATAAATATCTTGTGAGACATGGAACTTTGGAAGAGATTCGTGTCTTGCTTTGTTTTCCAAGCGCCAAAATCCTCCTGTCTTTCTAAAAACTGCAGGGTCAGCCTAAGTCACAGTTAATTGGATCCACTTATTAATTAAATCTAATTAGAGGACCTTTGTCTGCATTTTTTCATATCAAACCAGAAATTTAAATGAGGTCCCTTTATGATTGTGGTCACTTTCGATTTGTAGGCATCGATTAAGTACAAGGAGGGTAGTCATATGGATTCAGTGCTTGGCCTTGCTTGGAACAAGGAGTTGAGTTTGTTGGAAACTGTTACTTTTCTCTTGGTCCTCGTAATTTTGTAGTCTCTCTATCCAATTCCCAATGCTTAATGACATCCCTGACTGCTATGCAAATGTTCAAACAGGAATATACACTAGTGCAAGCGCTGACTGGTAAGTCAAAATTTGGGATGTTGCAGCTGGAAAATGCCATATTACCATGGAACACCACACAGACAAGGCTAGAATCATCTCATTTAATGTTTAGTTTTAATTCTTTTGGATGATAAACATACAGCTTCTGTTCATCTTAAGATCCAGTCTGTTCCGACAGTTAAATTTCTGGTTCATCAGAAAGGACCTTTTGCATGGTATTGATGAGGGTAATTACATGTTGGTATTTCATAGAAAGAACCACGGGTTGGGCATGTTAAGTGTTGAGGATTTGATATGTAGTTATAAATTAAGAAGATGGGAAGTTTCCTTCTTTTGTCTTACAAGTTATATTACGTTGATGACTGCTTTATTAAACAAGCTTGAACGCACAAAAGGATGTGCATAAAATCTTGCAGTGAGTTCGATCACTAATTGAGGGACATTTGAACATTGCATTAGTTTGAGAAGCCCTTGTTTGTCTGTCTGTCTCTTTTATTCTTTGTTGAAAACCAGATCCGGATATTTTAGTTAGCAGTAGAGGTTCGATTATTTTGTTTCCAGATTTTCAGGATTTTGTTTGTTAGCTTTTAGGAATTTGTTTCCTAAGTTTTAGGGTGCTGATAATTTTTTTAAACCAGCAGATACTAACCAGATTTATGGCTAGTATATCTGGCTTTTTGCTTCGGTAGTTAGCACAAAATAATTAGCTGGACGAGCAGCTATAAAAGGCCGGAGGCCTCATGTAATTTCGTAGCCCTTTTTGGAGAATAAAACTTACAACAGTTTCTCCTAAATTTCTACATGGTATCAGAGCTCGATCTGGACCATTCTTTTCTACCACATCTCTGAGTGTTTCCACCATGACAAAATACCCTAGAGCCACCATGGCAAGCGAGGTTGAGAGTGAAACCTCAGACCCTAAAGCTCAGAACTCTCCTTTGATTACCCAACCTATCAATGTATCCGAAGGGGGAACTCTTCTCATCACCGGTCACAACTTCAATCAATGGTCCCATTCTGTCATGATTTTCGTTTGCGGAAAAGGTAAAGAAGATTACCTAACTGGAGTTGCCGTACAACCTGAGGCGACAAGCCCAAACTATCGAACATGGAAGGTGGAAAATAACATGGTGATGTCCTGGCTGCTGAATTCAATGACGAATGAAACAGGGGAGAATTTCATGTATTACCAAACAGCGAAGGAGATTTGGGATGCTGTTCATGAAACTTATTCCAACAAAGATAACACCTCGGCCATCTTCGAGATCAAGGGCATTCTTCATGATCTAAGGCAAGGGGAATCTTCAATCATCGATTATTTTAACCAACTCATGCGTCATTGGCAGCAACTTGACATCTTTGGAAGATATGATGTGGAGTTGTCCCGAAGATAGCAAGCGGTACAAGCAGATTCAAGATCGAGAACGCATCTATAAATTTCTGTTAGGCTTGAATCAAGAGCTTGACGAGGTACGTGGACGAGTTCTGAGCATAAAGCCCCTACCTAATGTACGAGAAGTTTTTGCGGAGGTCAGGAGAGAAGAGACTCGGCGAAAGGTGATGCTTGGTTGTTCAAAAAACCAGACCAATCCAGAAAATTCTGCCTTAATAGCCCGAGGATCTCAACCATCCTACAGTCGAGGCACTCAGTCAAACAACAACAACCAGCGAAAGGGTGGTCGTCCGTGGTGTGATCATTGCAAACGGACAGGTCACACAAAAGACACACGCTGGAAACTTCATGGTCGGCCAGATGATTGGAAGCCATCAGCCTCACGTCCTACTCAAGACCGGGAGAGCAGAAGCAACATAGTCCAAACCGAAACAAACGCTTCGGTAGATTCGAGTCCCTTCAACAAAGAGCAACTGGAGATGCTGAAAAAGCTGCTACAGGAATCAGTTCAGAAGGCAACCCGTTCATAAGGGGTTAGTACAGCAACAATAGCTCAACGAGGTAATTCTCTAAATGCCTTTAGTGCTAAACAGGAGAAAATCACCTCTTGGGTTGTAGACTCGGGAGCATCCGACCACATGACCGGAGATATCACAGTGTTCAACGAGTACAATCCATGTCAAAACGGCACTAGCGTTCGAATTGCTGATGGTTCTTGCTCAAAGGTGGCTGGTGTTGGATCAGTGGTTATTTCAAAAGATATAACACTGAATTCAGTATTATTTATTCCCAAACTCAGCTATAATCTTCTCTCCATCAGCAAGTTAACCAAAGATTTAGGCTGCACTACTAAATTTTTCCCACACTCATGTGAATTTCAGGTTTTGAACTCGGGGATGACGATTGGCAGTGCTGAGATGGATGCGGGCCTCTACCTTCTGCGAGTTAATGCCTCAGAATGGAAAAACAAGAAGATGTCATGTGTAGCATCTCGTGCTAAGGAAGAGAGTGAAGTAAGATTGTGGCACTATAGGTTAGGTCATCCAAATTTCTCGTACTTAAAAAGGTTGCTACCTTCTTTGTTCAATAAAGATTCAATAAAATTTCAATGTGAGGTGTGTCAATTATCCAAACATACTCGCAGTTCATACCCTTTGCAACCTTATAAGTCTTCTCATCCATTTCACATGATTCATAGTGATATTTGGGGACCTTCTCGTGTCAATAATATTACTGGTTCTAGGTGGTTTGTTACCTTCATTGATGATCACACAAGACTCACTTGGCTTTTTCTGATGAAAGAAAAATCAGATATTGGCCGAATTTTTCAAACCTTCAACCAAATGATCCAAACCCAATTCAGCACAAAAATCCAAGTTTTCAAAACGGATAATGGGAGAGAATACTTTCACTTACAGCTCGGGTCATATCTAAATAGCCAAGGTATCATACATATTAGCTCTTGTGTAGAAACTCCACAACAAAATGGAGTGGCGGAGAGAAAAAATAGGCATCTTTTGGAAGTCGCCCGTTCTCTTATGATAGCCACTCATGTTCCTAAACATTTTTGGGGAGAAGCAGTGTTAACAGCCACATATCTCATCAATCGTATGCCTTCCCGTGTTCTAGATTTCCGAACACCATTTCAAAGGCTACTTCATACCTACCCACATATTCGTTTTGCCTCACATATCCCACTCAAAGTATTCGGCTGCACAACATTTGTTCATATAAATCAGCAACATCGCAGTAAGCTAGATCCTAAGTCCCTCAAATGTGTGTTTCTAGGATACGCTCCAAATCAAAGTGGATATAAGTGTTATTGCCCACAAACAAAGCGTTTTTATACCACCATGGATGTTACCTTCTTTGAGCACCAGCCCTTTCACTCCAAAAATATCATTCAGGGGGAGAGTTGTGAGGAATATTATTTTTGGGACACTTCTCAGTCATTCGGGTCACAACAAACAAATTCTCCTTGTCTTCCGTATCTACCCATTCCAACATCCGAGAGTCATCCAACATCCGAAAGTCTTTCGTGTCTACCCATTCAAGATGCTACACAAGACAAAAATAAAGAGGTAATTGTCTACTCTAGGCGCAAGACTCAAAAGGAGTTGGAGGACCGTACTACATCAAGGCCGGCTCAAGAGACAGATCCGAGTTCAAGACCCACTATCGATGAAGGTAATGCTTCTGCAAACTCAGAAAATTCTGCTATACTTGATGATCTTAATCAGCCTATTGCTCTTAGGAAGGGGAAGAGACAGTGCACTCAACATCCCATTAACAACTTTGTGTCTTACGAAAAGTTGTCTCCGAAATACAAGGCATTTGTTTCAACGTTGAGCGACATTCAAATTCCCAAGAATATCCATGAGGCACTTGCTCAATCTGAGTGGAAAAGAGCGGTTCTTGAGGAAATTCATGCACTTGAGAAGAATAAGACTTGGGAATATACAGAATTGCCAGCTGGGAAGAAATTGGTGGGATGTAAGTGGGTCTTTACAGTTAAGCACAACGCCGATGGTAGTGTTGATCGTTTCAAGGCAAGGCTGGTCGCTAAGGGATTCACACAATCATATGGAATAGACTACGAAGAAACCTTCGCTCCGGTGGCCAAACTAAACTCCATCCGAGTGTTGCTCTCTTTTGCAGCTAACTTGGACTGGCCCCTACAGCAATTAGACATAAAGAATGCCTTCTTAAATGGGGAATTGGAGGAAGAAGTCTTTATGGAGGTCCCACCTGGAATTGACACTAAAGAGAGCTTCAACAAGGTGTGCAAACTCAAGAAATCCCTATACGGCCTAAAGCAATCACCTCGTGCTTGGTTCGAGAGGTTAACAAGGGTCGTTGAGAAGCTGAACTTCACTCAATGTCAAACAGATCATACAATGTTTGTCAAGAAGTCAGATGAAGGTAGAAGAGCAATAATGATCGTATACGTCGATGATATAATCCTAACTGGTGACAATCTGGAGGAGATTGGAAAACTGAAGAATATCTTGGCACAAGAATTCGAAGTTAAAGACCTAGGTCAACTCAAGTACTTCCTAGGTATGGAGGTAGCTCGGTCACGGAAAGGGATTGCAATTTCCCAACGTAAGTATACTCTTGATCTCTTGAAGGAAACCGGTATGCTTGGGTGTAAACCAGCTGACAACCCCATGGATTCTACCTATAAAACCGAGATGGAAGAAGAAGGACCATTAACGGACAAAGGGAGATATCAAAGATTAGTTGGCAAACTAATCTATCTCTCGCATACTCGGCCAGACATTGGTTTCGCAGTAAGTATGGTTAGTAGATACATGAACCAACCAACAGAGAAGCACCTGCAGGCAGTTTTTCGAATCTTACAGTACCTGAAGAGAAGTCCTGGAAGAGGGCTTTACTTTAAGAAAACAGAGGAGAGAAACGTGGAGATTTTCACGGATGCAGATTGGGCTGGATCTCTCACGGACCGAAGGTCAACAACAGGGTATTGTACCTTCGTATGGGGCAACATGGTTACTTGGAGAAGCAAGAAGCAACCCGTTGTTGCTAGGAGCAGCGCTGAAGCGGAGTTTAGAGCAATGTGTCAAGGAATATGTGAAGGCATGTGGCTGAGAAGAGTCTTAAATGAACTAGGATTCACTAATACCAATCCTATGTTATTATTATGTGACAACAAAGCTGCTATTGAGATTGCCAAGAACCCGGTTCATCATGATAGAACAAAACATGTGGAGATCGATCGGCATTTCATCAAAGAAAAACTTGATGAAGGAATATTGAAGCTCTTGTATGTTCCATCCAATCATCAAACAGCGGATATACTGACCAAGGTTTTATCCAGAAATAGTTTCGAGACTACGAGGTGCAAGCTGGGTATGATAGACATTCATAACCCAGCTTGAGGGGGAGTGTTGAAAACCAGATCCGGATATTTTAGTTAGCAGTAGAGGTTCGATTA